GAGAGGGCTGAAAGCCCTATGAAGCGGTATACAAGTCTAACTGCTATTGCTATTGCCCTGTACTCACCTTCAGAATGAATGTCTATACACTGTGCTAAAATGCATAGGTTTCTACTTCAGAAAATCCAATTTGCAGTTTTCCCACCCGCTGAAAGCCCTATGAAGCGGTATATAAGTCTAACTGCTACTGCTATTGCTAAGTCCCACAAGTCTTCAGAGCGGCCAAGGTTGGACGTCTCTGCTCTCCACGTTTCTTTCAAGCGGACGACAGCGACTTCTACGCCCTGCTGGACATCTGGTTCCCCGAGAAGAAGTCCCTCCCCACAGCTTTCCTGGTGGACACCTCCGAAGAGGCCCTGCTGCTCCCCGATTGGCTGAAGCTGCGCATGATTCGCTCGGAGGTGCCGCGGTTGGTGGATGCAGGTAAGGATATAGAAGAAGAATAAAAAAACCAGAACGAGCCTTTTATGGTCATTTTGAAGGTGCGCTAATCGGCATTCGTTAAAGTGAAATTTCGTTGTATACGGCTCTCGAAGTGTCACCGCCTCCAATGTACACTACATAACAAACAGTGGTGAGTTCCACATCCCGGTGCAACCACTACGGTGCAACGGGACCCAGCGTCCGCCACATAAACGCTGGCATGCTCGCGAATGCTGGCTGGGGAATTCTGGGAGTTGAGGTCCAGACATCTTCAAGTTGCCAAGGTTGAGAAACACTGCTGTAGTAGAATAGTGTAACACGTATAATCAGGTTTATAATCCATCGTATTTTTTTGTATTCCTTGTTCCTTTTTACTCCAGCCTTGCATGATTTAGAGCCCCAGCAGCTCCTTCTCTTCGTCCAGTCCTTCGGCATCCCGGTCTCCAGCATGAGCAAACTCCTGCAGTACCTGGATCAAACCGTTTCACACGACCCTCAGACCCTGGAGCAGAACATCATGGACAAGAGTAAGAGGTTTCCGGATCGGATCTTTCCCCTCCCTCCCTCCCTCCCTCGCTCCCTCGCCCACCAGTCTCTTCCGGGCGTTTGGGGATTCTGCCGAAGCCACCGGACACTCCTCTGACGGAGGTCCCCCCATGTCATCTCTTCACAGATTACATGGCCCACCTTGTGGAGGTGCAGCACGAGAGAGGAGCCACGGGAGGGCAGACCTTCCACGCCCTCCTCACCGCCTCCCTGCCGTCCCACCCAGGTTCGGTATTCAGCTTTTGACGGTCCTGTATTTGCTGCTTTGACTCCCACAGCTGCCTGTCTCAGTAGCTACAGCGCGGAATAATTCTATTTATTTCTATTTATTAAATTTATAGGCCGCCCAATCCCGAAGGACTCCGGGCGGCTTACAGAAATAAAATTTTAAGAAAGGTTAAAACAAACAGAAGGAAACAGATTAAAAGAAAGCACATCATGCACCCAGTCTAATCGGGGCTGGACCTCGGTCGAGAGGTCAACAGCCCCAGGCCTGCTGGAATAGCCAGGTTAGTTTAGTTTATTAGTTAGTTTTTAGTTTATTTATTTGTATGCCGCCCTTTTCCCTGGGGGGACTCAGGGCGGCTCACAATCAAAAGGAAGG